GTGGTGCACCTTCCTTTGGAAATTCGAGTAAAATTGCAAGAATGAGGATCCGACGAAGCTTGGAGGGACTAAGGTCCAATTTCAGATTTAGTGGAATTGGCAGTGCATTTTTGAAAGGCTGGGAAAAGAACTTACTTATTGTTAAAGAAGGGTTTTCTGCTCTCTGTATAGCACAGGTAATTGGAAGCAGTGCACAGTATTCCCTCGTTCCCTCTTCGCTGTGGTTATGTGGTCTGCGTACTACTTCGAACAGTTTTCCTTAAAAAACGCCGTGCTGTCCCGTCGACGCTCCCTCGGCTAGGTTGCGGTTTGTGACCAGAGCGATCTCGCACGCTCTTTTGTCACATGCGCACCCCCACCTCTAAATTGCCTCCACTCCCCTGATTCCGCGTCACCGTTCTCCAACCGTCTGTGCTCTGGCCCTTGAGCGTTGCTTTTTTGGTTGCATTTTTGCTCACGAACGATTATACGAGCATTTGTGCGCCGGTATGGTGAAGCATGGGCGTTTGGTAAAATTCCTCGTAGCCTCTTTTTCTAATAGATGAATCCATAAACACAGAGCAAACACGATTTCGTTTTGGATTCACTTCCAATTACTGTGGAGGGCATATCCTTTATGAATGCGTGTAAAAACTCGGAATTGCGAATGCAGTACCAGGATATCGACTCACGAAGTTTCCTGTCCTTGAGCGGTAGCCAATTTTCGCGAGTTACGTGGACTGGCTATCGACAGTTATTGAAGAATACCAATTAATGCCCTGCGTTCGACGTCAGTGCAGTGGGAAAAGTGGGGGCGAAGGTCGCACGATAGCAAGCATTATAAATGAGGGACTTCTATCTGTAATTGTTACATAGAACTGAACAACAAAATTTAGTGCATTAATCTAGTTTGGTAATTTCTCGTCTTCTGATGACCCAAAACGTGATTATATCCAGATGTGAAAAGCCACTGTTATCCGTTTAATTACTACTTTTTAGGCGCTCGGCGAGTTTGTGTCCTGCAAAACCCTAACGTCGGGCAATCGAACCGTGGAGACGTACACCTACAAAACAGAACGCGATGGTATTATTGAGACGCACGTCGAACATCGTGTCACAATCCATTCCGATGAGCCAATCGACCACGACGCTGTAAGTTTTACTCATTTACCTTCTTATTTGATTTTTGGTATGCTATAGTGAATTTTGTTGCTTTCAATTTTTTCTGGCCGCCTTCGTTAGTACTAGCTAGGGTATATGTATTTGTACGCAGTGTTAAAGGTCCTCAGTAAAAGGGATTAAAAATTTCCTGTGTTTTCCTTTATTTTGTGCCTTGGTGAGTTAGTTCTCATGTGTTCTGAGGTCAATTTTTGGTTTTTTGCAGTCTCGCGACGAGCTATTTTCTTGTTGAAAAGGAAAACTCTCCCAGTGGTTTTTACATATTTGACTTGGATGAGATTTCGAGGAATGTTGTTGCGCTGATTTACGTAGGAATTAAGTACTCACTAGTTCTGGAGTTCTCAACCTCGAGTGTTTACATTGAAACAAAGCCCGTTAGTACACGATTTTGATAGCAAAGATTTACTTCCCTCAGTGATGGGTGAGCTCTGTAAAGAATTGCATCCAAGAACCTGAATTTGCTTCAGTGAGATAATGAAAATAATATTATATAGAGCGAAATAAGACCTATATAACGTGTTGGTTGTTGTGATTTCGATGACTTTGATCATCTTCAATTCTGCATTATACTGCTATTTGGGCCTGAACCTTTACCCAAGTTTTGATTCGAAACGAGGGAGGTAAGAGTTCCGAGGCGCCATCCTACACCAGCTGAATGTAATCAAATTACATTCAGCTGGTGTAGGAGGGTGCCTCAGTATTCCGCATCATCGGCGGTTGGGGTGACTCAGTGTCTTATGTGACCCTGAGGGAGAACATCATACTCGAAGGACTAGCTTGTGTATCGAAATTTTGTTGTGGGCTTGGGTGGAAATAACTTATAACTAATTGAGTGGAAGCAATGAATAATTACATGACAACCTCATTTATGTGTTTCTATAAGATCAATTTGCTTTTTTTGATAAGCAGAATGGCCCACTGTGAGCACATGTTTCCAACTTTTTGAGCGTGTTATATGCAATTTTGTTTATTTCTGAGCCAGAAAGTAAGATAACCTACATTTTTGACTAGCTAAATTATTGCTGACAGAAAGTTGTGCATTAGTGTGTTTCCTCGACGGCAGCCTGGACACCACAGAGTACCCAGCTTTGTGGGCCACATGGGACGGCGTGATGCACCACAGTACCGTAATTATCCATTTCTCCCACGTGTACAACTTCCTCCTAGATGGTTATTCATCTATAGGTCATACCTAAATAAATGTGAACAATATTTTCTGAAAACAGTTGAGTAGTGCTTCTTTTATCCCAGGTTTTTATTTTTTTCTGGTTTCCAAAAGCGTTTACTAAATCGCGCTTGTCCCTCGTAATCGGAAATGCATAAGCGCGCGCTTTCATCAAGGTGTTTAACATAGGAATTCTTACATTATTCAGCAAGCTTTGAATTTGGCGCAAAGCTTGCCGCTGATGTTATAGGGGTTGCGGACGTCTATCCTTTTTTTTCATCTTTTCAAAACGCCCCTTTCTAGTCAACTAGTCAAGCTATGCCACATAAGTGAGATTTCATTTTCGCTCCAAGGGCGAACAACCCCCCCCCCTTGCTCAAGAGGCACACTCACGAATAAATACGACATTTCTTATCTTTCTGTCCTTTATGGCTTCTATGTTCAACACTAATAAGCTAGTTCCTTTGGCGAAGTTATTTGATTCGGCCTTATAGAACAGCTGATATTCTGTTTCTCGTTTCAGGAACTAAGCCAAGCGATCATGGAAGCGACTCAAATGAATCCGGACATGACCGTTCGAAAAGATCGAAGTTCGTCAAGAGTCGACGGCATAGGACAACGATGACGTCGACGTGGTGTCGTGTCAAAACTTTCGCGTATTTGGCCCGTGAATTCACGGACCATAACTTCACTATCCGATTACGGCTGCATTCACAGAATAATACTGTGTGATGATAATGATAAAAATGAGGCAGGTGTATCCCCGAGCCTCCGTTGCATTCATTCCTTCTCTCTCTCCACGTATAGATTTTTGTTTACTCGCCCTACCAGCGACAAATATCCCTGTGCTTTTCTCTTCGGCTTTTGTTTGTTGTATGTTAATCTTTTATCCGGTCTTCTTCTTTTTTTTCTTGCACGCTATGCCTTTCTTGATTCGAACGACTGCAAATAGACTTGTGCGAGGTGTGTGGGTATCGGAAGAGCGGTTTTCGCCGAGGATTGTTGTGTCCGTGTATCAGGCACCTCATAGATGTGCATGTGCTATCTACGCTTCAGTAGGTGTGTCTTTGTGGTGCAGTGGTGGTTGAGCTATGTGTGTGTGCGCATGTGTTTGGTAGATGTAAGTATACGCTCGCCGCTTTTTGTGTGTCGTTGGATATCTCATCGGTTTAGCGTTGATTTACCCGTGCATCCCCCGATCCCCCCGACTGTAGCCTTGTTTTCTTTGCTGCCTTCTATCGTCTTCTATCCATTTACCGTTGATTTTATCCCGTCTTTTATTAATCGATTTGGGCAGCGGCAGCATGTTTTGTTGCGTAACGGCCATTTGGTATCCGCCAGATCAGCGTCCGAGCTGATCAGAAGAACATGATCGTCAACGGCAGCGGTGCCATTTGGATGTGTGTGTGCTTTTTATTTGAAGTTAGCAGCTATCCCAATGTTAACGAAATAGTTATCTACACATATATGTATTTTCTTTCTTCGTCTGATAATATTTGCTTTATCATGCTTTTTGACCACCAATAAAGTTCACTTCAGTAGTATACCTGTGTTGTTACTAGACGTTTAGGCAATGTGCAGGCAAAGGTGACAGGGTACTCCTACAGGGACGGTCCGTGGATCAAATCGCGGATTAGAAATCGCCCATGGTACTAGATCTGCTTAGGAGGGAATGACTAGCTTCTATCTCTAACAAGGGAGGTCTTTCAGGGCAAGGTGCGCTTTTTCAAAACGGTTTTGTGCATATTGTAGGGACGCATGTAGGGAACGCAAAACCATGTTTCATTTTCGCTGAACGGTTATAGCAGTACCAAAAAGAAGCATAAGGTACTGTTAAGGGTTCGATCCCCCGTGGCGACTAAATTTTGCATTTGGGTTGGCGCCTACGGTTTGGTGCCAAATCGCGCTAAATATCAAAATCAGATGTCAAATTCATCGTCAGGACCATTTTGAAGCCAACAAGTGGCCCAACCTTGATTGCAAAATTTAGTCGCCGCGGGGGATTGAACCATCAAAGAATATGGGGGTTGCTTCTGTAGCCGACACCAAGATGATATAATCACTTTACTGGCTAACGTTTCGGCCGTGTCGCCGTCGTCAGAGCCTGGAAGTAAGTCAAAGATAAGTGCGACCTAGCCTCCAAACACAATTTCGAACTTCAGAGCAATTCGTTCTAGACCATAGACATCTAGATAGGAGGGGCAAGACACAAGCATCCTCATCGTCAACCACGGTAACATAAACGTGTGTTCATGGAAGAGCAATTCGGCCAGCAAGACACACGTGGACCCCAACAATGTATTCATAGGAGGTCACCAGACAGAATACAACATCACTTCTTGGACTGGCCGCTGTTTGCGTTTATACCTGAATGAAGTCATCTCGGGAACGCATATGGCCTGTTGTGTAGGTAGGTGACATCGAGCTTACCCTAGGATCTCTGTAATTCATCGATGCTTCATGATACTTGTAGCAGCCCATCGTCTACAGTAGGCTGCCAAGAGAAATAATTCCACACTTGCTTTAAAATGAGAGAATAAGGTTGGTCACTCGTTTAATGTCATGAATTCGGAAAAGTTCTGCAAAACCAATGTTGCACAATATTTGCTTTGTGCACACGTCTACCTTGCTGCTGTTGTCCTAGTGATTTCTCTCCGGGGTCTCTTCAACCAGGTGCATTTATTAGGTTCGAAGGAAATCGAGATGTTTGGTTAGCGCTCTTGTTACCGTAATTTTTGCCCACCCTGTATATAGGGCAAAGAACACAAGCACTCGTTAGACTCACCTCTAATTACCAGTGTACAAATGCCAAAATTTAGTGGGATTAGTCGAACATGGAGTATTATTCACCACTTTTTGGTACTACTAAAACCGTTCAGCGAAAACGAAACATGGTTTTGTGGTCCATACATGCGTCCCTACACAACATGTAAACCGTTTCCAAAAAGCGCACCTTGCCCTGAAAGACCTCCCTTGTAAGGGTGTGCCAACCTTGAAGCCGATTGTGTAGATCAGCTATGCATCCCAATGATGCAACGACAATGGGAATGGGAACGGGAACGTGGCGCGCCCAGACATACATAGAAAAAAAAATCGTTTTGGCTAGGAAAATGACAATTGACAGAAAAAGCGTGCGAGTGTTCTGTAAGTTGTAATTGGTCAAGTGTTTTGCCAAATCTATGAAGGTGGCATGCAAAACGTATTGCGTTTCATATTTCACGCTGTTCTTAGCTAGATAATCTACTCAGGATCGGAAGCGGAAACGGTTGATTAGGTGTGAGCTATATGGTAGAAGGGAGGGGCAGTTCACGGTGAGCAGATTGGTGCTGGTGAGCCAAACATTTAATTAACATTAATTTACCTTTACCGTTAACCATCATCAATTGCACACAGAACACACATTGCTGTCGATTTTCTGTCGCCTCTAGTGGAGTGGCACGTTTTTTCTAACCATAGAGCTAGACGTCATGGCAGTCCTACTCTAGAACTCGAGATGCGCAGCGGTTTGGGGTCGATCTTTTCCCCGTGGGCTTAGGAGCTATACGAAGCCTCGCCGAGAGTCATGAATATTTACTACTTTGCGATCGAACATGGGCTTAAGTGGTGTATTAGCAAGTGTCGCCACGGACCACTCAATTACCCAAATGCTGGGTCGCAAGACATGCAGACCAATAAGGTCCCTCATCCTGGGGTTGGCTAATTGATGGGAGGCGTAAACAATGTACCTGTTTTATTGGGTGACCTCTCTATGGCATAAACCAAATCGCATTAAAATGCAGCTACTAATCCAAATATTAGGTTGAGTGAAAATTATCCGGGTCATGACTCCTTGATTTTTTGCTGATTATTTTCAAAGATTATGATGTAACTATGAAACGGCATCTGCCGACGTTCGGGTCAAGCAGCAGAGTACGATTTCGAGCTCGGAAGCCAATGCTGCTGGCAATCTTGGCTTTGCTAAAACAAAGAATGTCTGAGGTGAAGGCACGGTTGCAGAGGACTGTTCGAATGTTTGTTAGTTAATAATTTCTTGTTGTTTTGTTTGGTTTCCTTAATAAACTTATGTGTGAAATGAAAACGAGCGATAATTTCTTAATAGGTCATAGTCATAATAGTGGGCATGATAATAAAAGTGGGATGTGTGGTGCATCCCAGAAGGGGTCAATAGGTCGACGCTTTCAAGCTTAAGCTGTATGCGTGGCGTGTTAGGAGGGTAGTTCAACTTTCAGTTCACCTTATCATATTTGTTTTCCGACAACATGGCTTACGCCACTAATGCCATCGAGTTAGGAACTTTTTGCTCTGGAAAACTTCATAGCTTACGTAGCTCAAGTTTTAAGAGATTCAGCGAATCCGCTGAGAGGGAAGTGATATTACTCATTCACACCAAATAACATACTTACCTATCTCAGAATATCTCATTTTCCAGCTTACCATTATCGTAGCTGGGATCGGTAAGCAATAGTTCTCCCCAAAGATCTTTCTTCTCAAAAATTCTCCGTGCTCACCAGATTCACACAGCGCCTAACACCCGAATCGCCAAGCCTTCACAATGATATTTAAATATTCCTTCCAAAAGAATCACGAGAAGCTCCGAAAATACTGGTGATGGTTATTGGCTGATGCTCACAGCCAATAGACCATCACTGGACTTCCTCCCTCCGCAGGTAATCGATCCTGGCATGTCTGACTTTGTTTGCCTGCGCAGATCATTTAATTAGTAATATTTCGAGAAGATTTAAAGGCAGCGATTACGATAAAGAGGGAGCGCATCGGGGAAGCATATGCACCACACGAATCAGTTACTTGGCTGCCAGGGAAGCGAGGTGTGGCGCTTTCACGACGAAAGGTGCGCTGGTTGCTGAGCAGGACTTCGAAAGCACTCCGCCCCCAAAAGCGATCCGCCCACTAGTTTAGTTGGTGATTTGGACGAGCTGCGTTGCCAGCAGCGGCACAACTGGAGCAACTCGATTGGAGCGTGGTTTGGCATGTGCCACCAAACGCGTTGCGTGAACTCGTTCATACGTCCGCTTTCTGAGCTGTTACCTGTTCATGAGTGAAAACAAAAAAGGGGTCCCGTTTTGCGTTTTTTCTTGACGGATTTCTCCGCTTTTTTCGCCACTGGCGTACCATTGAGCACCACCAGTCTCCTATAAACCCTTCTTGAAATTATCGTAACCACTGCCTTCAAAAAAGGTGATCATGTGGACTGAGCAAGGGTTTGACAGAGCGCTCCTCGCTCACGACATCGAAACTGCCAATCATTTCTTATGGCCTCCATGTACGTGGATAAATGCCGGAAACTAAACGAGGCCATTATGTGTGATTTATCACACCAATTTGGGACGTTGGCCTTGCATGCTTTATGCGGTCGTCATAGCCGGTAGTCGGTGCCCCATAACCGTTTTCCGTTTCCATACTATCTTAGGTGTTTTATATCTCCTATAAATCCTTTGTGTAAACGGAGATCATTCCAGGCCGTCGTCGAATTCCTTATATTTTCTACGTTCCGCAAAATGTAAAGGACACTTTGAATCGTATCTTTCCATTCGTTGTTCCGTTGAAGGAGGATTCCATGATGAGGTCGAAGGTCTAAGAAGAGCGAACTTACCCGGTGGAAAGGCA